TACTAAGAGCCGATTATACAAGTCCCTTTTGACACTTTTTTCACTGAGGCCAATACAGCTACCGTAAGTTTTCTACGTTTGTCCCAGTTCCTGGACTAAGCCAGTATCTTTATTACTAGTTCATGCTTGGACTTTGCACTCATACAGTAAATTAAAAGGCGATAAATTATCTAACCATGAGTTGGGTCTTTTATAAATAAAGGGGGATGGGGGGGTGGTGGTTGTGATTGTGTTCATTTGCTGTGTTGTTGGTTTTGGATTTTGTTGTATTTGTGTTTGGTTGTGGGGGTTTTTTTGGTTTTTGTTTTGTTTGATGGGGTTTTTTTGTTTTGGGTGTTTTTTGGTGTTTGTTTTTTTTTTAACCTGTCACAGCCCATGGACCTTAGGGGCAGTTGCTCTTACCAAAGCTTGAGCTGTGCACCCCCACCCCCCCCCCCAAAGGGTGGCAGTAGTACACCCACTGATTGCCAGGAGCCAACAATGGCTCAGCTTTCCTGCAGCTGTTATGCAGGTGGAGCTTCCTTCAGGGAGCGTTGTAGTGCTTTAATCACAGTGTCTTTATGAAACTCTTGCCTTGGTATGACCATACAGCAGCAAATGGACCAGTGGAAGGTGAGATTTCCACTAGCTCCTGCTTCTTGGGAAGAGCCTGAAGCAGCCAAAGGCAAACGCTTGCCACTGTGGCCTACCATAACTCTGCTTTTCCTTCTAGCAGATAGCAAAAGTTTAGCAGCTTGCTTTTCCAGTATGGCACATTCCAATTAAGAAGGCTTTATCAAGCAGGTTGCTCTAGGATAGTCATGTTTTGTCACTTTGCACAAAGAAATTCTCGCTAGTAATCTGCGTCATGCAGCATAAAGCAATCTTGACTCCTGCAGGAAGCCAGTCGCTGCATTTTGTCCCATCTGAGCAGCCCTGTCAGGCGTTGCCTGTTGTCAGTGCCGAGCTCTTGGCCCAGCAGCAACACAGAACAAGTCACAACCATGAAACTCAAGTTTCTTCTGCTTGCAACTGCAGTGTGCACCCTCCCCCCTGGCCCTGCAGCAGATACCACCAGGAGAGGCTTTAACCCATAGCATAGATGAAGCATTTTACCTGTAGTTACTACTACATGTGGGGCCTGTGGTTCCAGCCACGGAGAATATGCAGTAATGGTGAATACATTGAAGAGTTTTTGCATTCCTGACCTGTGCGATCATGGCCTCAAACACAGCTCAGGGAGAGGGGAAAACAAGTAACTCACACCTACCCACACTGTTCCAGGGCTGATGTGTAACACCTTTGCTCACAGGTGGGAGCAGCCATTTACAGCACTCCCAGTGCTTGTTTCAACTGAGACATTCTGGGAATGATGAAGCTGTATTTTCTGTTTGGAACAGGTGCAGTACTTCTTCAGGATTCTGGACAACTAACAGCCTCCATCCTTACCCAATGCAAAAGAAGATGTGCACACAGAACAGTGTGTTCATTCATTTATTTGTCCAATGTTTCAAACCTGACTGAAATACAAGATCAACAAGAGCACTGTACTCCTGGCTATTATTACACGTTAGAACATAGAGTTTTGCACTTTAGACAACATTTAACACCATTCTATGGGGTACTGCATTGCTTTTATAAAGTTTAAAATAAAGATTTATTTTCAAACATGTGACTTTGGTTTATTTCATACATTACACTTTCTTGCAGAAAAAATAAAATTGTACAACTGCATAAATATAAAATTCTTCCACCATGAAAATGGTTAAAACATTCAATAAAGACATTAGCACCACAGTGTGCGATGCCTCCAGCAGGAAAAAAAAAAAAAAAGAGAAAGAAAAAAAAGAAAAGAAAATATACAAAGCAAAGAGTTTTATTCCTATCACTCAGGAGAGTGATAGTCTGACCCAGTCTCTCACACAACATACTGGAGGATGAGGGAGAAGGTGGAGAGAGAGAGAGAGAGAGACAGCATTCGCTACAAAGCACAGTACACAATCATCTATTCTCTTGAACTTCACTTAAGTTAGTTTCCCCTGCCACCCCTCCAAATAAAATACCCTAACACCACAGAAAAGTCAGAAGCCGTATGGAGTGCTGTTAAATATAGTCTCACAGGTGGGCCTTTCTTTGTAAAGGAACAAAATAATGAGAAGTATCATGCCAGTTCTAGTCCCATTGAGTATTTACACCTTGGACAGCAAAAGTCTTTGCTCACAAGAAGTAGAAAACAGATACAATACATGGCTTGAAAAATGACCAGAGTATGCACCTATAGTACTGTACACTAAATAAAATACACAAGGCAGCAATACTTAGGGGCCAGAAACACTGCTTACTACAAGTCAGTTATGGAATCATAATTTACAGTAAAAATGGGCATGTCCCAAGGCTCAATTTTGTTTTCTTTTGTCATTTACAGTAGAATAAATATTTGTCGCTATTGCTACACTTTGTTTACATTCTAACCTAGTAAATGCAGAAAGCTAGTGTAAAGCATATAGATTACGTGTAGGTCCCATACGTATGACAGTTTGTTCAAGACTAGTAGGTTTTCTTTTTTGTTCTTTTTTTTTTTTTTTTTTTAACCTTTTTAAATGGCTAGGAGGAGGGGGCGGGGGGGGGAGAGTTGTGCTTACAATCAGCTGCTTTTTATGTCAAATTTAATATCAAAGCGTCCCTGGAAGCGGTCTTTGTCGCTGTACTGGATGTTCTGCCCATAGGCCCTGCATTCCACGCGCACCTCCATGTCGTAGGTCAGGTTGGTGAACTGCACTGCCACCAGCGGCTGCAGGTACCGCGGCTGCAGGAGCTTGCCGTAGTAGGGGTAGTACTGCAGGGCAAAGCCAGGGTAGCCACCCATGCCGTAGTACTCCACTGTGCCTATTTTGTCTGCATCTTCCTCTCTCTAGGGAGGCAGGAAAAGGAAGAACAAACAATGACAATCGCCCAAACTCTACCTTCTGCAGCCCTTTTCCCCAGCATCATCTGTTTTTCACCAAGTGCACAACCTCGCTTTGGTCATCACCGAGTCCCATCTTGACAGCAGAAGGATGGTCCCAATGGTGGAGAGGACACTTAAGTGCTGTCTAACCAGCAGCTACACAATAAGCACGTCCCATCACACACTGGCCAGGAAAAAGGGCTTTTCTCTATTTAAAAACTCAACCACTTCTTTATGCATCAGAAGTGCTTCCTGTCACACCAATGCACTTTGGCCAAAAAAAAAAAAAAAAAGTTTGCTGTTTCTCACCTGCTTTACAACATCACATAAAATACCTCTTCCCTGGAGTCCTTTTTTCAGTCATCCCTACTAGGAGCTCCAGTACAGTACTTGGAAGCAAAATGGCTACTTTTGAGGATACCTTTTGCTATCCACCCCTGCTTTTACCCCTCCCTCTGAGGGCAGCGCTGTCATTCGTCACCCTGAGGCTTTAGGAAACTCCTGCTGTGAAGGGGAGATATCCCACCTAAGAACCACCCCAGCTGTCTGTGGAAAGGCAGAAAGGGGTTGCTACGCTTGGACAAAGTCATCCCCTGCAGCTTCCCCGCTCTGCTCTACTGTAGCTCAACTTACCTTGGCAGTGCAGTGGACAGGGATGAGATACGGGTTGTATTTCGCCATGACCTCTGGAGGGAGGCTCTCATTTACCGGAGGCTAGAAGAAACCCAAACCAAGGGGATGTTACACACCGGACACTTCTCTGCAGAGTGCAGCACCTTTGCAGCGGCAAAGCTCCATGGTACCAAACACGTGCCATTAACCGGAATCCCTTCCAGCTCCATTACAGAGGCAACAGCTCTTGGTGGTGGTTCTTGGGACAGACAGACAGCCTAACACAACTAGAAGCTGGGGAACCTGAGTCAAGCAGAGCTGTTGTCTGTTCTTACAGCTTTACTGCTGTGGATACCAAGGCAAGCCAATTGGGCTATTTTCCATTTTGTGGTGTCACTGGGGAGAGCGAGCACTAGCTGGGGGGCTTGGTTTGTGCAAAGTCCAGGCAGCAGCAGGAAGAGACGTGCTGCTGGAGGATTTGCCACCTGCCTGCCAGGTGAGTGCAGCCAGGACTGGAAAAGCACAAGAAAGAACAAAGCGTGGCAGTCACACCCTGATGCTGAACTTCAACAGCACCTACAGGGAAGGACAAAGGCTCCAAGCGTGTGAAGGAAAGGTGGGAGTGCCAGCTCTCACGTTGGTCTTTGGTCTCTTAACAAGCGCAGTAGTTTTGCTTCACAACCTCGCAGGTCTGATCTCCACTTTACACATACCTTGCCCAATACAAGAGCTACAGGATCTCTGCTGGAGCGTGGAATGAGGGAAAGAAATAGCGCCTTGGGTACGTACGTCATTTAGAAACAAAATGTGTCAAGTCATTCCTTGACTAGACTCTGCTGTCTAATGTGGTCTGGAGCTCTTCAGAGCTCTGTGGCAAAGAAAAGAGGAACACACCAGGCCTTTCTCTTCCCCAAACATGCACATCTTATGCCATCCCACAACCACTGCGTAACAAGCACAACGCATTCATGCTAACACGCACCCACTGTTTCCAGCATGGCTGAGATGAGCCAGACTTCAAC